GCGATTGCTTCCTTCGCGGATTGATGATTTCAGAATTCGTGCGTGCTGTAGGGAACTGATCGATCGAATCGGGAGACCGGGATGATACACGAAGAAACATGATTACGCGAGAGAAGAAACGGTCGTTTGACACGATCACCAAGCCGTTGTTGATGAAAGTTACATAAAGCATTTATGGTATATCAAAGAAGGATTAGCCAATATTTAATAAATTAATCTAGACGAAAGTCAAATTAAATTAAATTTGCAGTCCACTAGTTAATGTGGTTGATCGTTAACAAAGGTATCAAATATGTAAGGTGTTTTATAATAATGGGACATGTAAAGTAGTGATGGAATAATTAAAATTTAATAAATTATTTGGTAAAATATAAAATAATGTTAAGATTTACTTAAATGAAGTTAGATATTCGGAATCGTATATCAATTTATAAAGATATATTATAAAAATATAAATAATTTACGAGAGGAATATAAGAGAACAATGTTTCTGAAATAAAAAAAAAAATTTTTTTAATTAAATTTTAAATTCAATAAAGTCGGAAAAGAAAAATTAAAATTTTTTTACATTAACATTTTAAAATAGTAAGCAACATTCTAAATTTATAAAACTGAGTAAAAGTAAATAAAAATATTGTAGTATATATTATAAATAGAAAAACATAAGGATTAAAGTAATTTAATAACTATATATTAATATGAAGAAAACGAGAGAGAGAGAGAGAGAGATGGAAAGAGAGAGAGAGAGAGAGAGAGAGAGAGAGAGAGAGAGAGAGAGAAATCTCTCGTTTTGTTATAACTATTATTATAATATTACATAATAACTCTTACTATAATACTACTGCAAAGTAGTTATCTTATGAGACCTGTTTCCAAGTTTAGGTTAGTTAATAATCAAGATGAAATTCCGCTCATTAACCAAATCCTAAACCCTTCCAGTTATGTGTTTGGAATTTGTACAAAGATGAAACAAAAAGTTCATACCCGCATATTTTTAACGATAAAACGAGGATAACAGATCAGATAAAAGTTACAGTTTAATTTATGCGTTTATAGTTTATATACATGGCACAATACCAATGTAAAATTAATCTACTTATTTTCATTAAGCTAAAAACCTTTAATACTATTATGGTGGCGTGTGTTACTATCATGGCCGAACAGATTAAAGTTGTAAGTTTTCATTCTTCGTAGCACACATAATTCGAAGATTCGTTGACTTTCCTACGTGAATAAAAAATGGAATAATAACTACTCACAATGTTCTAATCGTAATAATGCAATGCACTATTAATGTAAATGGGGAAAAAGTCGAAAATAATATACTATCTATCGTATATATTTACTGTTAAAAATTAGAAGAAAATGAGAAATCGTAATAACATGTGAAGGACAAAGCCAAATGAAGAAAGGTGAATTATTCGAGTAGCAACATCTGCTGGGAGCATGATAACAGATTAAATGTCATTAGAACATACACGTAAATACCTCTGCCGAGAGCGCAAAAACCAGAGTGTTTCGAGAAATACGTGCGGACGATCTACAGCGTGTCATGCACGGTCGCCTACTGCCTTAATGAAAGCGATAAATACACGTAAAACAAATTCCCACGGGATTTAAAGGGAGACAAACAATAATTCGAAGTGTAGTCTGCGTTATAGCGGCAGTGTGCTTTAAACGAAGAATTAATTTCCTGTGTTACACTAATTAAAGATTTGATGTTGAAAAGCTATATTTTTGACAAATTATCGAAAAAAATAAAAATCACTGTCATTTTTTTTTTTTTTTTTTATTGCAACGTGTGATTATTGCAGGCGCATGGCTGACCATTATCGACTTTACCTACTGTTGACACTAGACAGTTTCATATATGTTGTATTTTTTAACAAAGGACGTATTGACATCAATTTAGTATATCATAGTCTTATCAGTAAAATGTGAAAATATTTGTAATTTAATTTATCTCTTTACGTTGATATAAACGTTCTAAATTTCAAACAATGTGTAGTATTATTGTTGCCTTGAATGATCGTTTGGTTGACAAACCGATCTGTGTTTTCCTATTCAAGGATATCACATGAAACTATTAAATAGGCTTTTGAAAATCTTACTAATTGTTATAATTATTCTTTAATTTCTAGTCGCTATTTTGTTTTTCTTTTTTCATTTTATGTTGTGTTTTCTCATAGAGATGTAAACACACAGCAGAAAACACAATAAGAATATACTTATATATTTCTCTCTTTCCCTTTAATCCATGAGCATTTTGTTTATGGATTAAAACTTTCCGTAAACTTTGAAAGTCGTACCAGAAAGAATCTCTCTTACGACCACACGCATTAAAAGTATCCTCGTTATCCACTAACCAAATCAAAAAGTGACACTCGTCGCAAATACTTCATGGGATGCTCTAGAGAGTACTCTTGGGAAATTGATCACAACTTCAGTCACTTGAATGCAAAAATAAAATTTGATTGGAGCGAATTTCTTTTTTATTAAGTTATTATAGTATAAAATATATTCAATTTTTAAAAATTCTATATGCTATAAAATTAATTTCTCTTTGCAAGATTGTTAACATATAAATAAATTTAAATATACTTAATATGTACAACTTCATTATAATTTTGTATAATTCTTCGACGTTGATTTTTCTATAATAATTATATATATAATATATATAATGCTTGTATATATACACATACATATAAACGTAACATTATATTTAAGCTTATAACAATTATTTAGATTAAATACAGAACAAAAAATTTAATTAAATATTTTTAAGTATGTGTGTAATGATATAACAGACAAATTAATTAATTATAAAGTTTATGATATTGATTTTATATAATTTTTCTTAGATTTGAGGATTTAATTGATTTTTCCAAAACACGTGCTTTGCAAAAACATGGGAACGAGACCTGAGATGAACTTCTTTTAACGCTCTTTAATTTATTGCAAATCCAGACGCGCGCGCACAATTGCAGATGAACAAAACGAAGGAAATCTACGAATAACAACGTAAGGTGGAACGATGACAAGCATTGTATAAAAGGATCCTTTTCATATCTTTTATGAATCCTCCCTGAGAAGCGCTTTATACTATTTAACTGCTCTGTTCTGTTTTATTGGTGAAGATGACAAAACAGTCCCAATAATTGATATGCTAAAAGATTGATCACAAGCAAAATAAATGAGACCATCCCATTTAAAAAATGAAAGAGAGACAGAAAAAGAAAGGGATATTAAATTTAATTTAACCGTAAATAAATAAGTATAATATAATTTAATTTAATATATAAATATAATATAATTTCATTTATCTCTGTTAGTATAGCAATAACATTATTAAAAGTAAAATATGTAAAATAAAAATAACAAGAATAAAGTTAAAAAAAGAACATATTTTATACTAAAAATTTTTTTAAAGATAAAGACTGACTTAATATAAAAATGATACCAAATAATAAATTCATGATTAAAGAAAAAGTTATTATAATAAAATTTATACAAGAGAGAACCAAATGAGAGAAATCCATTTCAGTATTATTGTAATCTAAGCAAAAAATGCCTAAGAGTAAATTTTCGATAGATATCTATAATTTATAGTTCTTCATGTTTTTTTCTTAACGCGATGACAGAAACTTTGTGATCATTTATAATATAAATTAGCATTAATTTTAGAACTTTCGCGTTTGTGATTTGATTAATTGTAAATAGAGATAATTCTAGTCTAATCTAATTTTAAATATCCTACCAAAATTTGTTATATCCTGTATGCGTTATAGTCTAAAAAATTTTTTAGAAAAAGAAACTTTTTTGTAAATACGGTGAAAAAATTTAGAAAAATATATCACGAGTCACAGCCATATAGTACTCATGGCATATATCGAATTCTGTATCTATATTTATTATATTATATTTCCATTTATATATATGTTTTTATTTATTATATTTTCATATATACATATATACAAAGTTTTATGTTATTATTTTTATAAAAGATTTTGATAAAAGAAGACGTTTAGTGTATATTTTAACTTCATTTTCTCAATTTGTTGTCACCTATGGCAATTGTTGAAAAAATTTATATTCTTGTATACTATTAAATTGTCTCTAGAAGAAAACTGGTGAGAGGTTTCTCAAACGATTCGCAACGTTGCGGTTTCATGTCGAAGAGAGTTTGTGTCGAGAGATCGTTGTGAGAACGAAATGTCTCGAAACAAGGACGAGAATTTCCGTGAGCATTGTATTCACTATTGTAACGCGTGTATTTAAAGAGTACAAGTGAATTAATAGGATACAAAGCCAGTTTCACTCGGATCATCATTGTCCTATAAACTGTGTTGTCAAGTTTCGAGCATTGTTTCGAGCGAAACCGCAATCATACTTTGTTAATGCCGATTTCATATATTTCATAAGTTCGTGTGGATCATGATGATTATATCAATATTTATAAAGAGGAAACGCAACGTGAGATCGATGCTTTTAACATGTAATTACGCATAGGAAATTGAGGATGACGATTAATAGTCAATTAAGCCCGATTATAATACTGTAATTGAACCGTGAATCATTATATTGCGAGTACTAGTCAGAAAATATTGCTACGAAACATTGTTACAAGATATTTCGTTACGCACATACGATTAGGTCGCCATTGCGAAAAAGACAACTGTCGAATGGTGATTATTGTAAATAGAATAGAATCAACGCGAAGTGAAAATATAATTCATTTCGATACGTTGTGTGAAACTAGTTTAAAGGTTAGTCTTTGACTCAAACGTGGCCACTGCGATGGCCGAGACATCCCATCCAGCCAGCGGCATGCTGGCGAGCGCATGAACTCGTTGACATTGGTACCGAGGATGATGTTCAACCAAATTTCAAACTAGTTTATTGAATTACAAAAATTTTACGAATGAAATCAAAGTAAAAACAATAAGCGCGAGCTTATTATGGGAGAATGGAAACCTGCTCCGTTTCACCGGACTCACCTCTAGAGGGAGGCAGGGGCTGGATGCGGCCATGTTCCTACATGCGTTCGAGCCTCTGCCCCGGTGGTGGCGATCCCCTCTTCTTCGTGCTGTGGCACCACTTTACAGAAATGGAAAAAAAACAGAGGATAGATATACAGACAAATTGGGGCAAACTGCACACTGCACACTCACGACAGCACCCCGGCGATCGACGTGCACAACCAACCCCCCTTCTTCGAAACACCGGCGAGGGGTGCGGGTGGGCAGGCGGAGGGGGGCGGGGGGGGCGGAAACGGGGAGGGGAAAATAACACCAACGTAGCACCTTTCGCACCCCTTTTACTTTTTCGCTCTACGCTCCTTTTTCGCCCGGATTATTTTTCTCTTGTTTCACGGCAATCAATGACACTCTTCCTCCGATAGAAGAGATCAGAGAACGGAAAAATGAGAGAGAGAGAGAGAGAGAGAGAGAGAGAGAGAGAGAGAGAGAGAGAGAATGAGTGGATCAGTAGGAAAGAGAGACGGGACAGTCAGAGTAAGCGAAGAGAAAGAAAGAGAAAGAGAGAGAGAGAAAGAGAGAGAAGAGTGAAGAGAGGGGGGATCCTCTCTCCCAAGCCCTGAACTCTCTCGGATTCCTCGGAGTGGGCACTACGACCACCGGCAGCGACGACGACAGCCACTACCTTCCTTTTCTTCTTCCTCGTCTTCCACCTCCTCGTCCGCCGCCTCTCTTCTTCCGTTCCTTCTTCCTCGTCGTCGACGTCGTCTTTCCTCCCTTTCGAGCCTCCCTCCCCTCCTCCTCCCTCCCTGCGACGCACCAGAGCACACTCTCGACGGTTCCTCTCGCGACGACGGCGAGGAACGGCTAGTTGCTTCGCCTCCTGTGCCACGTCCTCGTCCTCCTCCTCCCCGTTCTCTTCCTCCTCCTCCTCCTCCTCCTTCTCCGCCGCCTCCTCCCCGTCCACGTCCTCCTCGGCGGCGGGCGCTCCTCCTCGTCTTCTTCTTCCTCTTCGTCGTCGTCGTCGTCGTCGTCGTCAACCGCCACTGTACCACCGTCGCATAACAAACACCCCGGCGACCGTCACGGTCCCGGCGGCACCAACAACACGACGACGAAAGACAAATCGAAAAGATAAAAAAAAAAATAGAAACGAGAGAGATAGGTGAGAGACAGAGAGAGGGAGAGGAAGTATCGAAATTCGCGAGATTGATTGAGGAGAGAACTAACAAGCCCGACGCTTCCTTTTCTTTGCGAGAACTCGTTCTCTCACACGAGGATGCGTTTTCTCCTTTCTACTGAGGTGCGGTACACCCCCGCGAGCGAGGGAGAGTCACCCTCCGCGAGTCAACTTCGCGCGCACTCGGTGAGCACTCGACGGGCGAATACTGACCCGACCTGTGTTACGAGGCAAGAACGAGAATGGAACCGGGACCTGTTTTCGTACCAGCACTAACCACCAACCACTTCTTCTCTCTTCTGTCTTGTCTCTTGCACCTATTCCGCTACTCGCGTTCAGCCGCTCCTCCGTTACAGCTTCAGCAGCTGGTTCGAACCCGCTACACGTCTCCGCAATCCACACAAACGTTCTATCACTTCGACTTCAACGGCACCTTCCCTATAACTACAACTCCTGTCCGCTTCACTCGGCCGGAAGTTCACACACTACCTACGTTCCCCGAGCGTCGGAGCTCGTGGCCACAGCGGGACGGTCGCTCGACTACGCTCCCTCGCTCTTCCACCACCACCCGACCGTCACTCTCGCATATACACACAACACACACACACACAACACACACACACACACACACACACACACACACACTCTCTCTCTCTCTCTCTCTCTCTCTCTCTCTCTCTCTCTCTCTCTCTCTCTCTCTGTCTTTCTCTCGGCCCTCATAGCTGTCCTCTCGCCCCTCTTCTCACCCTCACCATTTCTAGCGTTTCCACCACTACCGTCTCTTCGTTTTCGCCCACCCTTTGCCCGTTTACTCATCCTTGTCACGCTAACAATCTCTGTCTTCCTTACCAATAACTTCGGCCCCCTTCTACATGTCGTTATCTCCCTCGCAACTATTTAACTATCACCAGACTGTCTCCGTTACACTGACGTAGTCTCCTCCGTTGAACAAAGTCTAGCTCTCACTCTCGCGCTAATAGCATGACACGGCAGTCTTCTTCGTCGCGTAGAACGCTTTGCTCGTTCTTTCCAGGAATCGCCGTCCCTCTCCTTCCAATAGCCTTCATTCCTCTCTGATATAGTTCCTTCTTCGTCTGACCTTCCATTAGATGTCCCTTTCTATTGGATGAGCTTGCACTCACTCGCACTCCTCTAGCGAGTCCCTCTCAGTCGCGCTTACGTATTAACCCCCATTCGGAGGGCGCCAGGACCGAGTTTCTTTAAAGCGATACCCTGGGCTTACCTTCGACAAAAGGCATCTCAAGAGTTTTTATCGTGTACTTCGATAAAAGATGATTTTATTTAGCTGTTCTTTTTTCTAATTTTTAGAGACGGAATATATATTATTGCAGTCTTTAAATAAATCCGTTGTATTAAGTCGTATTAAATTATGTTTAAATAATAATTTATACAAGTATTATTTAAGCTTACGGAGTAACAATTAATAACGCATAGATTATTAATTAACTTTATCTAAATATGTTTTCCAAATAATGATAAAATCATAATCGATATTACTTACACGTTTCAAATATCATTTTTATACTACCTAAGTTATCAAATATTGGAGCACAGAGAGTAATTTTTGGAAACATTTAATAATTAATTTTTACTAATGCAACGCTGATAAACTTTCTAATAAATTTATTCAGAATTAAATGTCATAATTAATTCATTGAATTTGTGTTATATAAAACTGATAGATGTATAAGATAAGGTTTTCGTATTTCTGATTAGATATAAGCGGACATAAGTGACGCGATATTACGCTGCATGTAAATACTTTGAGAAAGACTATGTACCTACAAACTATTCCTAATATACGTCAGTTATGTTGACATTTATAAAATTGATAATAGATACACATTTAAAAAGTTTAAATAATGTTTTAATCAATATCTCATTATTGAAGTGCATACATTACTAAACTTAAAAAATTAATTCAACTCTAAAAGTGATTAAAATTGTTAATGTATAAATACATTGACTCAATTTTTCAATTTACAAGTATTAATTAAATTTAATTCTCAAGTATTAATTACACTGTAAAGAGAAAGTACATCTTTTCGGATTACGAATAATTTTACATAAATATATTGTAATATTATCCAGATTATTTAATGTTTATAAAACATAACACATAAAAAAATAATAATTTTTCGTAAATCTTTGATGTTTAATTTAATTTACACTTAAACATTATAAATAAAAATGTATCATTTATCTTTAGCGAGTATTGTAAAAGATAAAATAATAACCAAATATCTATACTTTGTTTTTCATTATTTTCGAATATATAACTACATTTTAATTTTAAATATTATTTATGTTATATTTTTAGATATAAAAATATAAATTAGCGAAATGTCCAAATCAAAGAAGTAGATAAAAAATAATAAGATTTGTTGAAAAATCAAACAGCGAAATTTTCCACAAGCTGGAATATTTTGCGCGACCGCATAAAGCGATAAATAAATATTGTCATTTAATGAGAGCTTTCTTCTGCTTAGCTAATAATATCCATTTCTACCAATGAATTATTAATTTATCTCGGTTTAGTTTATTCTTTACTTTTCTACACGATATGTGATATTTTCTATATGATATATTTTTCTATATGATATTTTCACTCAGCCGATGATAAATGAGCTCCTTCTCTATTAATTCATGTTAATTTCCATTCATCTGCTCGCAAGTTTAATTGGCGGGCTTTTTCGAAGCTCTTAACTCGTTGGGCACCGCCAGGTGTCAGTGTTCGCAAGCACATCGGTGTGGGTGTCAATTTACGAATGTATGTGAGCTTTCGCTCTCGTTTGTGTGGGTAGAACCGATATCGCCGGGGTTGCCGGTGCATGCGCCCTCTCACTTTTCAAGGGTAGGGATGAGCTTTTTCACGCTGCATTCGCGTATACGACGAGTTTCAGACCCCGACACTTTAACGGCTTTAATAGATATCTTGTATCAGGTCTTGTACACGTGGATTCGTGATCACGTTGAAGTTTCGGAATACTAAGACAAGCGCGATCGTCAAGGATCAAAGGAATTAATTGGAATTTAACAAGATGAAAGAACGCCCTAGAAAAGAGGGGCGGTTCAATGCTCTCAATACGCGAGGAGCGTTAATTGGCCTTGCCGCGAATGAAACGAGGTAACGGCCTGGGCCGATTCGCTGCTTAACAGCCACAATAAATTCCGACGTGCACAGCGCCTCGTTATCTGATGACCGTTTTCTTGATGCCTCGTAGAAAGGCCGGAAGTCCACGCGCGTCGACGGGAAGTCATCGTCCACATAGCCGTAACTCACCCGCGCGTGAGAACTTAATTAATTAGACGTGCAGCCAACCGTGCCATGAAAAAGCTCTCACTTTTTAAGTATATTGTTGATTTGTGTTTTTTTACTAAGAAATTTAATTAGTTTTTACTAACATTTATTTAAAAATATTAAGAGCATTTCATTGTAAGAATAAATACTTAGTTTTAATAAATACTATAAAATCTTTTTAAGACCGTACAATTAATAAACAATAAACAAACAAGGAGAAGAAAGCCAATAACGGTCAAAGCTAGACCACAAATGCTTATTAAAATTATGTGTGAATTTTATATACTGCATATGTAGTCCCCTAAATCGCCATTCTCCTTGTTTACTTAGTTTTAATTAAATTAGTAAATTATATGATTGTGTAAGCATATGTACATATAGTTATATTTGAAAAAATAAAACAAATTTTTTGAAAATATATCATACAATAAAATCGTCTTTTTTTCAAGTATGTTTTCTAAAAGCAATAACAAAGTCATGTTATTATTTCACGAATCGTGTTAAATCAACAAGAAACTCTGAATATCTTTTAGCTGCCTTGTTGCATATGAACTTTAGCTACGAATATGCTTTGGCACTTCAATCAAAAGTTGTTTGTAACTTTAGAGCATATCGAGATGTTAGGTATATGAGCTAAGAGTTTACATGAGATTGCTCCGAGATCAACTTCCTTTTAATTCCTGATAAGTTTTAAGTTAATTCTTATATTTAATGAAAGTTTATGAATTTTTAATATATTTTGGAATATATTTTAATTTTGAACAAGTAGTTATATGACTTATATGACTATCTAATCTCTCGCAATTCATCTCGAAAACACATATAACGTTACTCTCGAAAACTATAGACAACGCCAACGTGGAAATAGATCACCAAATTCAAACTCTCTGCCACCTCCCTCTTGCTAGACTACAACAATATAATAATTTCATTAATCAATTAATACCTTATTATTATATCACATTTGGAAAAGAGAATGCATGGAATTAGACTTTTTCAACTAAAGATGTAATAAAGTACTGATCGATTTTGTTCGCTCGTGCCTATAAAATCAGTCACTATGTATAATGTGTTTTTGGGAGCAGCTCTCCCTCCTTATCCTTTCTTCTCTATGTTCGACGAACACAAAGAAGTATAGAGAGAGAGAGAGAGAGAGAGAGAGAGCGCTCGTATGATTCAATGCGTATGAAGGACTTTAAATCTGTGGAGTCCGCGAACGAAGGCGAGGGGATGAGTACAGGACAGAAAGGAAAGGGGAGATGGGATTGTCAGAGGTGGCAGTGGTAACAGCGACGGCGGCGGTGACGGCAGCGGTAGAGAGTGTAGGGGCAGCGTTCTGGGTTTCTGGGTTCGTCCCCCGTCCCCTCGCTCGTCGACCCCCTCGGTCTCCTCCCTCCTCCGCCTCT